CATTCTAGATTTAATTCTTGGTGTTCTATAATGAAAAAAACATTTAACCTCTAATACCACCCAAATAATAGTCCTCTTAATCTCATACTTTTGACAAGAATATTTATTTTATCATACTATAATATGATTTATTTTTTGTAACAAATCATAAATTTTTTAAATGTTTTATTTTATTTTTTATTTCAGGATATTGTGAGGGTATAAACATTTTGGTTACATTGTATATCATTGCCTCTCCCAAGCAGAGGTTAGAGGCCTGCCCTTCCCCCCCAGTGCACACCATGTCCTATTGTTGTAAGTTTACCCCCACCAACTCCCCATCCCTTGAGAATATTACTACCATGTGAGCACCATCAGTCAGTACCAATTTGATGGCAAGTACAAGTGGAGCCTTTGCTTCCGATCTTGTGTTACCTCACTTTGGATAATGGGCTCAAGCTCAATCCAGGAAAATATAAGATGTGCTAGATCACTGTCGTTTCTTAAAATTGATTAATATTGCATTATATACATATACCCAATTTTAATAATCCACTCATGAATTGATGGGCACTTAGGTTGTTTCCACATCCTTGGGAGAAAATATTTGCTCTCTGCATATCCCATAAAGGGCTGATAATAAGAATCTATCTAAAACTTTAAAAAAGTCAGCAATAAAAAATCAAACAACCCCATCAATAAATGGGCAATGGAAATGAACGGAAACTTCTTCAAAGAAGACAGAATAATGGCCAGCAAACATTAAAAAAATGTTCAACATCTCTAATCATTAGAGAAATGCAAATCAAAACCACAATGAGATATCACTTAACTCCAGTAAGACTGGCCTGTATGAAGAAATCCCAAAACAACAAATGCTGGCGAGGATGTGGAGAGATAGGAACACTCTTACACTGCTGGTGGGACTGCAAATTAGTGCAACCTTTGTGGAAAAGAATTTGGAGACTCCTCAAAGAGCTAAATATAGAAATACCATTCAATCCAGCAATAGCACTATTAGGCATCTACCCAAAAGAGCAAAAGTCATTCTATAATAAAGACATCTGCACCCAAATGTTTATGGCAGCACTTTCTGTTTTCTTGAAAGTGACCTTAACCTGCCCTATGCAAGCATGCTTTTTCACAGTACAACAGTACAGAGTTTTAGGTCAACAGCTGTTTTATCAGAGAGTACTGAGATACTATTCCATTGTGTTCTGGCATCCATTGGTGCTACTGAGAAGTCAGCAATTAATTTAAAAATAAGATACCTTTCCTGGTTAGAGCTGGAACCCATACTACTAAGTGAAGTATCCCAAGAATGGAAAAACAAGCACCACATATACTCACCAGCAAACTGATATTAACTGAGCAGCAGCTAAGTGGACACATAGGAACTACAGTAATTGGGTATTGAGCAGGGGGAAGGGGGGGCGGGTTTGTACATACATAATGAGTGAGATGTGCACCATCTGGGGGATGGTCATGCTGGAAACTCAGACTTGTGGGGGGAGGAAGGGAAAGGGCATTATTTGAAACCTTAAAATCTGTACCCCCATAATATGCTGAAATAAAAAAAAAATAAAAATAAAATACCATTCCTTAGCAGGTAATCTCTCTTGCTTTTCCTCCCATTTTTAAGAGTTCTGCAGTTCTGCAGTTTCACAGTGATATGGCTAATTGTAGATTCCTTTTTATATAACCTACTTTGGCTTTATTGGACTTCCTAGATCTGAGGTTGTCTTACAACATTGCTAGAAAGTTCTAAGATAGTATCTACTGAATATTGCCTCTACTCATTCTGCTTATTACTCTTTCCATTACTCTTCTTAAAGAGTATAGATAAGTTAACTTTTCATTCTCACCTTCATATTTCTTACCCTCTTTTTGACATTTCAATTTTTTTCTCTCTGAGCTACATTGAAGATAATATATTCATATATATTTATCAGCTCAGTAATTCTCTTATCACCTATATGCAATGTACTTGTTTAATATGTTCATCAGATATTTCATTTCAGTTATTATAGTTTTTGTTTATAGAAGTTACATTGAGCTCTTTTAAGTCTGTTTTTTCATTTTTTATGGGCTTTTTGCCTGTTCATATCTTCAGACTTCAGTTGCTTTAAACATATTACATAGAATTTAGTTATTAATTTTTAATTAATAATTTTAAATAATTCATAATTGTCAAAATTGGTCTGACCATTTCAGTATTAGAAATATACTGTTTATTCAACTAATATTTGTTCATTGACTGTTGTTTCTTTGTGTTATTATTAATATTTATTTTCCTGTTAGCTTCATTTTCTTGCAACTTTATCTGTGGGAGTCCTTTGAGATCTTCATTAATACTAAGTCCTCTATTCGTATTGGCTTTTACAAGTTGTTGGAGTATTCCTGCCTGAGGACCTCTTTACATTATCTTCTTTCTTTGAAATTTTTCAGATAAAAAACCTAGTAGGAATTGAGATATCAAAACTGTTGATGTGAAGAAGAGCTTGTGGTTACAGATTCTTAGGAGAGATCTTTCTTTTTCCTCCATACAGCATCAAGGTAGAGACAAGCAAGTTTCTTAGTTGCCCACCCTACCTCCCCCATATGCTAAGGTGTAGCTCTTCGGAACCCCTACTTTATGAGGAAGTTTCCTATTATGTATTGGGAGGAAGTGGAATCTTGTTTTTTTAGCTCTTATGCCCTGGGCCCTTTGAAACTATCAGTTAAAACTCAGTCTTTAGAGTTTAATAGAAGCTGAAAGGTGATTCCCAACTGCACACTTACCTGTTAAGATTCCTATTTTTTACCTCATTTGTTAAAAATTTTATTTTTCCTTTCATGCCAGCTGGATAATTTATTTCTTTTACATTTTTTCATATTTTATCCAGGATATTTTGATTGGTAGGGACAGTCAGGGTAACCAATCCACCATTCTGCAAGAAACAGAACATGTATTGTTTGATTTCATTCTCCTACCAACCATGTTCTTTAAGGAAGAAGAGTTAAATATAGTTGCATAATCAAACAATTAATAATTTTTGGATGTAAACCTATGTCTCCTGACTCAAGGCCATGGTTGTTTTTGTTCAAACATTATGCTATGACTTCCTCTTGTAGAATCCTTGAAGAGATAAATATAATTATCCTACCTTTAGCATTAGTTGTGTTTTGTAACATTAATAACTATTGTTAAGAGTTTGGGACTTTCTTAATTTATATCTTTTTCTTGAGGAGTATAACTATTGAGTAAATCTAAGAATATGATACTTTGGGTTCCTAGAATGAATATTCCAAAAATTTTTTCCCTGCATCGTTCTTAGAAATAGAACCTACCTGTGAAATTATTCCTACTGACAACATGTCCAAGCCCAACTCTGAAGTTTTTTAAATGTCTGCAGTGCCTCTAAATATACATACATGCATCACTTTGTTGCTGCTTTATTTTCAGGCATACTGAGGTCTTTTTGGACAAATGGAAGAAGGTGTTCTGATTTTTACGTGGAGTATCTTAAAGCCAGTTCATTTATTTCATGATCACTTAGAGGCACCCTGAGGCATACTGTGGACCATTTGAGGAAGTAGTGTATTTATTTTATGCTCTGTATCCAGTGCTAAAAATTTTAACTTTACCTATTAATGGATTTATTTGCAGTTAATAGTTTCATCTTCATTGTTGATATGTAGCTCCTGATGATTGTAGTACATCTTTCTTCTTGTGATTATAGACAAAAACTTCTTTGAGAGCATCTTGATAAAGGTTAATAACTAGGGTCACAGTTTTTTTCCATTGGTTAGGATAAAGGCAATTTCAGTTATAAACCCACAGAGTTTATAGATGAGATTGATATTTTATCACTGTGGAATTCTGCATTTTATGCGGTCTTTTGTAATCACCATAACTTGTCTTCTAACCTTTGTCTGGTGTTTTGATCCATTCTCTATGCTGCTGCCAGACCTCCGTTGCAGTCCTATTTGATTGTGTCACTTCCCAACCCAAATCCTCAGGGGAATGCAGACTCCTTACTGTACCAGTCCTGCCAAATGGAGTGGTTACTTCTGAGTCCTCGCCTTACTTTACCTCACAGTACCTAATTTGCATAATCGGTTGCCCCTAGTTCTTGATGTCTCATCCAGCTTCGTGGCTTAGAATAGCGTGTGTATGCTGACAGCCTACAGGACATGCACATTTCAGCCTGATTATTCCCGTGTTCCAGGCTCACTCATGCAGCATCCTCAGCGTAACATGTTTTAAAGTGAGTCTTGTCTTATGTCCTCTGATCCTATTTCTTCCCTGCTCATCCCCTTCTCAGCTGTATAAGTCAAAAGCTTAGGAAATTGCCAACACTGTCTTTCTCTCATACCCCACACCCAAGCAAGTTCCCATTGGCTGTGCCTTCAAGACATGTTGCCGCCTGTGTGCTCTCTCCATCTTCATTGCTGCCACCCTCATCAGAGCCGCCATCGTCTCCCACCAGAATGTCTTCAGTGTCCTCTTCACTGTGCTTTCTGTGCTTTCCTCAGACACTTCATGGCTCATGTTGTTATGTTAGTCAAGTCTTCTTCAGATGTCACTATCTCAAGCTGCTTCTGATCAACCTTTCTAAAATGGGCCCTGAATCAGTCAGATACGCTGTGTGACACACAGCCACGGAATCTCACGGGTGTGCAGCAGTGGGCTTTTCCAGGCTGGCTGGGGATTGGGATTGGGTGCTGGTTTCCGTGAAGCTCCACGTCTGTCTGGATTCAGCTTCTCACTGCAGGTTGCCCTCATATCTGCTCCAGGGATTTTGTTTTCTGTATCCATGGAATATGGCATAGAATAGGTACTTAGTGCATGTTTGCTGACTGCATGAGTAAAGGAATGAATAACTGCATAGAAATTAAGAGAATAAAGGAATGAATGGATATAATAGAGATTAAGTAAAATAATTTACTTCACCTCCTCTCTTCTACTATGTGAAATGATTGCTGTAAGAACGTGAGGTGATTCTGCCATATCTTCTGTTTTATTTTGGCGTGTTCAGATCAGAGAACAGGCATGTGCTTCTCAGGCCTGGTGAACGGACGCTGTACACAAGAACTCCCGGGCAGGATGACGAAGACGCAGTGCTGCTGTGAGCCCGGCCGCTGCTGGGGTGTCGGAGCCGTGCCTGAGGCCTGCCCTGGGAGAGGTTCCGGTGAGTGGCTGACTTCTAGTCTCCCCAGGATAGACACTGTTGAGCAAATGGTAACAATAATGTAATTTGTTCTTCTCCTGAAAGACAATTCATATTTGTATTCCATTAGTTTCTTCACCATGACTTGGGTGTTTTGTAAGGGAAGGTGGCATTGTTTATTTGAGATCAGTTTTGATAATACTAAATTTGGTAATATCAGACAAATTACTGAAAGTTGATTAACTTGTTTTTGTGCAAGTATTTAAAAAATTATGTTAAATATCAGGATTTCAATTCAGTTTTTAAAACTCCTGATCTTTCATTCCATTGAATATCTTTGAATAACAAAAGTTCTGCCTTCATTTATACTTTATTTCAGGATTACCCTCAGTTTATAGTGTACCAATCCTTGAAGATATTTCTTCTCTTTTCTCATGACCTTGAAAATTAATAATACAAGGACATAAGAGTACCTCTCATTCACTTTGCTCTATTAGCTGTCATGTATATGAGACTATATTGGGAAATTACTTTAGGATGGGTGAGAGAGTAGCTCCTCTTGTTATGTGTAATATGAATAGTAATGTACAATTAATGTTTATCACATAAAGATATTTTGATATATTATTTTCATACTGAATTAAAATAATGAAAAATAATTAAATTTTTTAAATATAAAGATACATGCCAGTTTATACTGTTATGGAGAAAAATTCTTCATTCTTTCAAAATCTCTAAGTCATAAAACACCAAAATCTGTTAGTTAAAAAAAAATAGAGTTAACACCTTGTAAATAATTTTGGAACCTCATAATTCTACTAGTAATGTATAATTAATAATTTTTATTTCTTTTATTTAATATTGTATATTCTTTTATTTCTTTTGATATAGTGCCATAATTCTGCAAGGAGTAAAGAAATAAGGCAATTACTATATTCTTGATTCTCTTCACCCAACTTTGGTACCTAGACAAATAAGGAACAAATTTAAAAGCTTACAATATATTGTCTACTATTAAAATCCACGTTAGGAAAAAAATATTATTCTGGAGCTGTATTAATACCTAATCTCTTAAAGAAAAGAGATAGGAAAAATGTATGAGTGTAATACTGATGAGGATTTGAGTAAAAGCAAATATATAAAATGAATTACCTAAAGCTTTAATTTTCATCCATTGAAGTAAATTTCTTGCATTCACAGTTGTGTCTGGAATTTTATCTGGAGTTGCACTTTGGGGCATAAAATAAAAATGCACATATAGAGGATTCTTTGGTTCTGCAACTCAGTTAAAATAATGTGCTATATAGGCTTTAAATTTTTTCTGAAACATCTATACCTTTTCCCTGCTACTGCCAGCATTGAAAACATTTATCAAGCTAGCAACCTACTTGTTCTATTGAATATTATAGGTAAGCCAGAATGATCTATTACAACCTACTGATTGCTTTTATTATGCAGAAAGACATCCATTTGTGTTTAACTAAACTTTCCTTTCTTCTAGAGGAATATCGCAGGCTTTGCATGGATGGCCTTCCAATGGGAGGAGTTCCAGGGAGTGCTGTTTCCAGACCTGGAGGCACTGGGGGGAATGGCTTTGCCCCAAGTGGCAATGGCAATGGCAATGGCTATGGCCCAGGAGGGACAACAGGCTTTATCCCCATCCCTGGAGGCAACGGCTTTTCTCCTGGCGTTAGGGGAGCTGGTGTCGGGGCCGGGGGACAGGGGCCCATCATCACTGGACTAAGTAAGCGGTCACTTTCCCTTTGGACTCCTTAGTTTTCTGCCTCAGTGATATTGCAATATGTCACATTTTTTACTTTTCAAAAGGGGTGTGTGTGCATACAAGTGTGTGTAGAAACCCAGTTCAGGGTCTGAAATGTACTAAATTTAGGAAAATGTAGTAGGAAAGTATTATTTTTCTGCCCTATGAACTTTCTGCTAAATTGGAGAAAAGAACGTGTGACTCAGGCTTTCTTTGAAAATACAAATGAGAGCCCAGTACTCCTCCAATCCAATTGACGCCATCAAAAAAGGTTGTTTTGGTTCCACTGTATTGCATTTGGCCGTTTGCAGCTGCCCAATTCATGTGCCCCTTGAATTATATTCCAGAACCATTCTCAACTGAGATAAACTAAATGTCTTGCTCTGTGCTGATCCAAATATTGTAATTCACATCTTTCCTTTCCTCACCCTTTTTTGTTAAATTGCTTAAGAAATTGAAAACCGTGGGCTACAGACCAGAATTGGCATTCATGTACTTGACATTTAAGTTCATTCTTTTCAAAACCACTTCTTTTGCTAATAATATTTAATAATGTCTCACAGTGTTATGTTTATTCTTTTTGGCATATTTCCTATTACTATATATGAGTATTTAGCTCAGTTACAAAAAAGAAATGGAGAGCACTCAAATGTACAATAGAACATTCCTGAAATTGTAAAAAGACATCATTATGGGCAAAGTTTCCAGATGTGTAACTTAACAAATGCAAGTTACAACCATATGTCTCAAGAATATTTTTTAGATCCTCCATGTGGAAGTTTTAGTGAACTATAAAATAATGTGGGCTTCTGATATGCATTTGATTAATTTACTATTAAATGTCCTTTTTAAAAATCAACTCTGCATGTTGTAATTATTAGATATTACTTGTGCTTCACTTTTCTTTAGCAATTCTGAACCAGACAATAGATATCTGCAGGCACCACGCTAATCTTTGTCTAAATGGACGCTGCGTGCCTACTGTTTCTAGCTACCGATGCGAATGCAACATGGGCTATAAGCAGGATGCAAATGGAGATTGTATAGGTGAGTTCATGATTATTTAATGATCCTTCTTAGTTTTGTAATAGATGTTGGACTACAGGATCAAATTAGACTGATTATTTTTTTTTTTAAATCTTGAAGGAAAGCTAATTTCCAAGCTCTCTCTCCTGTGTGTATGCTATTCAGTATGGCCCCCTTAAAGCTAAGCTGAGCTAGAATTTTACTTCAGAAATTTCCCACCCTTTCAGGTCCTAAATATTGTGATTTCTATCTCTGATTCTCTCTATACTGCCTTTTTAGAATTTCTAACTCTTAATATAGAGATTAAAAGGAATCTATATAACTGTGCATATATATTTTTTTATTTCAGCATATTATAGGGGTACAAATGTTTAGGTACATATATTGCCCTTGCCCCACCCACCCCCAGTCAGAGCTTCAAGAGTGTCCATCCCCCAGATGGTGGGCATCACACTCATTATGTATGTATATACCCATCCCCCCCCATCTGCCCAGCATCCAGTGAATGTTATTCCTATATGTGCACTTAGGTGTTGATCAGTGAAACCGATTTGCTGGTGAGTACATGTGGTGCTTGTTTTTCCATTCTTGGGATACTTCACTAAGTAGAATGGGATCCAGCTCTAACCAGGATAATACAAGAGGTGCTATATCACCATTGTTTCTTATAGCTGAATAGTACTCCATGGTATACATATACCACATTTTATTAATCCACTCATGTATTGATGGGCACTTGGGTTGTTTCCACACCTTTGCAATTGTGAATTGTGCTGCTATGAACATTTGAGTGCATATACTTTGAAAATGATTTATGGAACCTGTATCCATTTTTAAAAGATGACAAGACAGCAGTGGGCTACTGAAATCTAATACTCTAAGTGCAGTAGTTTTCAAATGTTTTGGTCTCAGACCCATTTAAACACTTAAAAATTATTGGTTCTATCTATCAATAATTACCTCATTAGAAATTAAAGTTGAAAATTTTTAAACATTTATGCACTTAAAAATAACAATGATAAACCCACTGTATTTTAACATAAGTGACATTTTTATGAAAAACTAAGTTTTCTAAAACAATAAGTATTGAAACAAAGGCCATTGTTTTGCATTTTTGCAAATATCTTTAATGTCTGGCTTAGTAGAAGCCAGCTGGATTCTCATATCTGCCTCTGTGTTTGAGCTGTTGTATTATGTTGTTTTGGTTGAAGAATACAATGAAAATTCATCCTCAAACATATATGTAGTTGTAAAGGGGAAGAATATCTCTTAGGCTCTTCAGATAATTGTGAACATTTATTGATACTCCACTAAAACTCAGCAAGTAGTAATTCTTAAAAGTTTAGTTGCAATATGGAATCTGAAACCATGCCAGTAAACTTTTTGTACTGTTACATTAAGCCCATTAGTGTGCCTCATGCTTTGAATGGACTTTGTAACATGCACTGGTCATTTAAAGTATGTTGGCTCACTGTGTTATGCAGATCTTTCCGAAGTTGACATATTTCACTATGTAATATCAGAAAATCATGTTTGGTAATATCACCATTGAACTCATTAGAAATGGCTTTAAATATTGGGAAATAGTCAAGCACATGGTGGTGAATACTCTTTCTGAATTCTGTTACTTTTAAGCTGGGATTTTAAGTTTAACATCAAATACAGTCAATGGTTTTCCTTAAAGTGACAGCCTCACTTTATTATTTTCAAGAAAATGTCAGCCATTGTCCAAATCTGAATAACTGCAATTTTTCTGTCAGTCATTCTTCAAACAAAAATAGCATTCTGCGGAAAAAAACTATTAACTTAGCACACAACTCAAATAATTGCACAAATGTTTTTCCTTGAGACACTCATGGTATTTCAGTCAGCAGCAACATGTAATGTTCACTTTGTCACAGAGATAGTAAAAAGAAGTAAACTCAAGAGTCAAGTTTTAATATTATTAATTTTTACTGCTTCATTAATTATATTCTTCAGTGAAAATGTTTTGTTTTGTTTTTAAATGCTCTGTGAGTTCATGCCAGTGACTGCTAGGACAGCTTGGTGCCGCTGCCTTAATCTGCGCTGGGCACCACTACTGCTTCTGCACCGTCAGCGCAAACACTAGCACTGTGAAAGGGTAGATGACATCCCAATGTGGTTATGAAAGCCATGGTGAATGAAGGCCCCTCCTGAAAGGATCTCAGTGGTCTCTGGGGGCTGTGGACCATGCCTTGAGAACAGCTGCTTTATGTAGAAAACTCTATCGCTGAGTCCCTGACATTCGTCCAGGTTGTATGTAACAAGTTTAAGAGTGAGAGAGTTGTGTGGGACTCACAGGATGTTTTCCCACAGAGTCAGTGGTAGACTTGGAAGTTATGATTCCCCAGATGCCATTTTAATTGATTTGCACTCATAAACTATGACCTGTACAGTAGCAGCGTGGTGAGAAGAGAAGCCATGAAGGACATCAAATCTAGCAGGAGGGTTTGCAGTAGTTAGAGGTGGCATTAGTATCTAGGAAGAGTTAGGAATTGCCCTGTTGGGGTAAGAAAATCAGTATGTGACACCTACCTTTCTCCCTGCCTGAGTTCTGAACCAGTTCAGAGATAGACAAAGAGCCCATGCCATATGAAGTTCTAAAGATTTTGAAAGTTACAGCTGTATGTACTGTTTAGGGTCCCCATTGGTGCTTGGTTAGTTTGAAGTCTTAAAGAAGTTGATCATGATCCCAAGATGTACCCCATATTTGCAGACACTAGTCAAAGCCATGATGCATACTCTCAACTTTGAACCCATGCCTGAAAAAGCCAACTATAACTTCATTAAGAGCCTTGGTTTTTCCAAATGGATTTTTGGTCCCAGATGCCACTCCTTTAATATTTTCCCAGACCATGCACCCTGTGTTTAAGCATAGATGGATTCTAAGCATTTATTCCTTAAAAAATTAAGCAGGAAACTGATACTCTAAAGGTGTACTGTGAGGTAGCCACAAGGAGCCAGAAACCATGCCTTATAGCATAGGTGTTGATGCCAAAAAGGCTTTAAGTCCAAAAACACAATACCATATTGTTTGTTAAATTAACCATTATGGATTGGTGTGCAGATTTTTAAACCAGATTTATTGTGGTATAATTGACATACAATAAATGGTATATATTTGGAGCATACGGTTTGGTACCTTTTGATATATGTGTATGCCAATGAAATTATGACCACTATCAACATAATGAACATATCCATCACCTTCAAGATTTGCTGTATCCCCTCTTTAATTTTCCCATCTTGCTTCCCCTTGCTTCCATCTACAGCCCCGTCCTGTCCCCAGGCAATCACTGCTCAGTCGCTATGCATTAGTTTGCATTTTCTATAATTTTATATGAATGAAATTGTACTGTTACATACACTTTATGTCTGGCTTTTTTTAGTTAGCATAATTATTCTGTGGTTCATCTGTGTTATGAATAGTGATTTATTTCTGTTGATGAATAGGATTTTATCATATGTATATATCATATGTATTTATATATTCCCCCATCAACAGGCATTTTTGTTGTTTCCAGTTTCTGGCTATCACAAATAAAGCTCCTGTCAACATTAACGTCCAATTGTTTGTATGGACATTTTATTTTTCTTGGGTAAATACCTAGGTATGGAATGGCTGGATTATATGATAGGAATACATTTGGTTTTTAAAGAAACTACCAAAATGTTTTCCAAAGTGTACTATTTTACGTTTCCAGCAGCAGTGTTTGAAAAAATCAGTTCCTCCACAACCCAGCCAATACTTAGTATGGTCAGGTTTTTCAGTTTTATCCATGTTTGCCTCTATAAGTTTTCTAGTTTTAGGCCTTTGATCTCTTTTGAGTTAGCTTTTTGTATTGCATGAAGCATGGATTGAAGTTTATTTTTTGTAGTATGTAAATATATGACTTTTAGAATCAGTTTATCAATTTCCAAAATTACAAAAATAAAACCTACTGCAATTTTGATTGGGACTGTGTTAAATTTATAGGTCAGTTTGAGGAAAATTTATATCTAATCATATTGTATTTTCCAACCCAGAAAACAAGATATATCTATTCATTTATTTAGGCCTTCTTTAATTCCTCTCAAAAATATTTTGTAGCTTTCAATGTATAGTTCTTTCTTGTCTTATGTCAGATTATCCCTAAATATTTCATTTTTGATGTTATAAATGATATATTTTTAATTTCAATTTAACTCCTCCTTTCAAATATGGGTATCTTCTACTTATTTTCTTGCTATATTATTCTGGTGTTATAACCTCCAGTAAGTGTTGAATAGAAGCAGTGAGATTGAATATCCTTGTCTTGTCAATGGTCAAAGAAGGAGAGTATTTGGTGTTTTGCCATTAAGCATAATGTTAGCTACATGGTTTTTGAAGATGCCATTTATCAGGTAGAGGAAATTTCCCATTCCTAGTCTGTGCTAAAGATTTTATCTAAGATGGTGGATTCTGTCAAATGCTTTTTCTGCTTCTATTTAGATGAGCATTTGGATTTTTAGTTTATTAATGTGGTTAATTATTTGCATTTCTGGGATAAGTTCTCTTAATCATGGTGTATTATTCTTCTTACAGTTGTTGGATTTGATTAGAATTTTTAAAGAATTTTAAAAGAATTTTTTACAATCGAATTTTTTACATACGATTTTTTAAAGAATTTTTGCATCTGTGTTCATGAAGGATAATAGTGTGTAGTTTTCTTTACTTATGTATTTGTCTGGTTCTGATCTTATAGTAATAATGACCTTATAAAATGAGTTGGAAATTGTTCTCACTGTTTCATATTTATGGAAGAGTTTGTGCAGAATTGGTACTATTTCTGCCTTAAATATTTGGTAGCATTCACCAGTGAAGCCACTTACACATAGAGGTATTTTTGTGAGAAGTTTTTAACCACAAATTTAGTTTCTTAATAGGTATGCTATTCAGGTTATTTGTTTCTTCTTAAGTGAGCTTTCATGATTTGTGCCTTTCAAGGAATTTTTCCATTTTATCATAAGTTTTTTAATTT